GGACCCAACCATATGAAGTTGTGGGTACCGCAAGTGTGAGTATCTTCTTCGGTGAAGCTCCCTATGGGGCCACGAAACGCTGCGCTGGGCGAGGGGGAAACGCATGCGGGCGGTCCAACTGGGGGCTTCGGTGGAGCTCCATATGAGGCCACGAAACGCTACACTGGGTGTGTGAAAATACCGAATTCGGCGTGGGAGGCGCATGTGGGCGGAACCACTGGGGGTTTCGGTGGAGCTCCCTATGGGGCCGCGAAGCGTTGTAAAGGGTTTGTGAAAATGCCAAATTAGGTGTGGGGGACGCATGCGGGCGGCCCCACTGGGGGTTTCGGTGGGGCTCCCTATGTGGCCACGAAGCGCTGTACTGGGCCGGTGAAAATGCCAAATGGGGTGTGGGGGAGCGCATGCGGGCGGTCCCCCTGGGGGCTTCGGTGGAGCTCCCTGTGGGGCACGCATGCGGGCGGTACCATTGCGGGTTTCGGTGGAGCTCCCTATGGGGCCACGAAGCTGTATTGGGCGGGCAAAAATGCAAAATTGGGTGTGGGGGACGCACGCGGGCGGTCCAACTGGAGGCTTCGGTGGAGCTCCATATGAGGCCACGAAACGCTACACTGGGTGTGTGTGAAAATACCAAATTCGGCGTGGGGGGCGCATGTGGGCGGAACCACTGGGGGCTTCGGTGGAGCTCCCTATGGGGCCGCGAAGCGTTGTAAAGGGTTTGCGAAAATGCCAAATTAGGTGTGGGGGACGCATGCGGGCGGTCCCCCTGTGGGCTTCGGTGGAACTCCCTGTGGGGCACGCATGCGGGCGGTACCATTGCGGGTTTCGGTGGAGCTCCCTATGGGGCCACGAAGCTGTATTGGGCGGGCGAAAATACAAAATTAGGCGTGGGGGACGCATGCGGGCGGTCCCACTAGGGATTCGGTGGAGATCCCTATGGGGCCACAGAGCGCTGTACTGGGTGTGTGAAAATGCAAATAATAAAGCGCGGGGGACGCATGCGGACGGTCCCACTGGGGGCTTCGGTGGGGTTCCCTATGGAGCCACGAAGCGCTGTACTGGGTGGGTGACAATGCCAACTTGGAAGTGGAGGACGCATGCGGGCGGTCCCACTGGGGGCTTAGGTGGGGCTCCCTATTGGGCCACGAAACGCTGTACTGGGTGGGTGAAAATGCCAAATCGGATGTGGGGGGCGCATGTGGGCGGTACCACTGGGGGTTTCGGTTGAGCTCCCTATGGGGCCACGAAGCGTTGTAAAGGGTTTGCGAAAATGCCAAATTAGGTGTGGGGGACGCATGCGGGCGGTCCCCCTGTGGGCTTCGGTGGAACTCCCTGTGGGGCACGCATGCGGGCGGTACCATTGCGGGTTTCGGTGGGGCTCCCTATGGGGTCACGAAGCGCTGACCTGGGTGGGTGAAATTACCTGATTGGGCGTGGGGGGCGCATGCGGGCGGACCCACTGGGGGCTTCGGTGGAGCCCCCTTTTAATGGGGTCACGAAACGCTGCACTGGGCGGGTGGCAGTGCAAAATTGGGCGTGGGGGGCGCACGCGGGCGGTCCCACTGGAGGCTTCGGTGGGGCTCCCTATTGGGCCACGAAACGCTGTGCTGGGTGGGTGACAATGCCAAGTTGGGTGTGGGGGGCGCATGCGGGCGGTCCCACTGGGGGCTTCGGTGGGGCTCCCTATTGGGCCACGAAACGCTGCATTGGGTGGGTGTAAATGCAAAATTGGATGTGGGGGACGCAGGTGGGCGGTACCACTGGGGGCTTCGGTGGAGCTCCCTATGGGGTCACGAAGCGCTGCACTGGTTGGGTGGCAATGCCAAAGTGGGCGTGGGGGCGCATGCGGGCGGTCCCACTGGAGGCTTCGGTGGAGCTCCCTAGGGCCACGAAACGCTGTACTGGGTGGGTGACAATGCCAAGTAGGGTGTGGGGGGCGCATGCGGGCGGTCCCACCGAGGGCTTCGGCGGGGCCCCCTAGTGGGCCACGAAACGTTGTGCTGGGCGGGTGAAACGCATGGGAGAAGGAGGAGGGAGGGGAGGAGGAGGACGAGGAGAGAAGAGGAGAGGAACGCGGGGACCGTCTCTTGAAAACGAAGATCCAACATCACAGGACGGTTGGGAAAAAGTTGCCAACTCCTTCTCGGGAAATTCTGACTTTTGCAACTGCGCCACAGCCTCCCCCTCACAGGGCCGCGCCGCTGATGCCCCCAAAGACGTGGCAGAGGCGGGCGACTCCCTCCTCAGGCCATGCATATTGAACCCAAACAAAGACAACCCAAGCATCCGCAGGGACCCATGGAAGAGGCCACGGAAAGCCCGAGGAGGCTGCGCAACCAAAGGATTACTTGACAGGAGCCCTTGAAAGACTTTGGAAAGCCACCCCACCAGCTTTGCATCATCGGCACTGACAACTTCAGGCTGACTCAACCGCTGCCCACTCCTGGCGAGCGGACGATTGACGATGGCACTTGCCCCTGCCCTCGCGATCGCGACGCCGCGC